GCAACGCCAGCAACACTCCGCAGCGTTATATATTGCTGCCGTTGCTGGGATTCGCGGTACTGGACGTGTATTTGCGCGGAAGTTCCATCTTTGCTGCTCAATGTCTTCTATTTCTGCCGCTTGCGCTCCTAACTCTTCTATCGTGTGTACGCTCTCTTCTGATATATAATTTTAAATCTGGCGACATATTCTCGTATGTTTGCTCAATTTGATCTCTTCTCGAGAATCCTGCTCTTCTCATAAATGTCGCTAGTTCTGTGGCGTACTGTCTGAACGGTTCGTTTGTTTGCTGCAGCCGCCTCTATACCTCTATATTTAATTGTGCCTTATGTCTATACGGCAAGCATTGTTCACGAAATGCGTTCATAAAGTCGCTCTAATTTTACCACAATTTTTTATTGTTCCTGTACCAATGTAAGGTACCTCCGCGTAATAGTTCAGCACTGTAACATATGTTCGTTTGTATATTCGTAACTAATCTGTAATTCTTCAATTCGCTCCAGAAAAAATACCGAATCTTTCCTATCGAATTGACATCCCCATTTGCGTATTTGATTAATCGTTTTCGCAATTGCGAAAGTGAAGTCGTTTCTGTATGTTATTTCTGTTTCTTTACTCATTCTTTCATCTTCTGATTTACTCGCGAATAATTGCGGATTATCGGTCACGTATTTGCTTAATCTCCCTCTTAAATCGTCTAGGGTGCCCTCCGTGAACAGTCCTAGCTCTGCCATTTTTTTAATTATTTGGTCTTTTGCTAGTGCATAGATCTACTGCTTCATTTTTTTTCTTTATGAGTCTGTTTTCTTTTTATTCTTTATCTGTTCGGGCGTCAATTTGTAACGTTTTTGCGTTACGTGCGTGATAGACTTAATCGGTGCGGTCCAAGGTTTAGGCTTAATAAATTTGAAACAGTGGTATAGATAACAAGAAGTGTAAAATATATTATTAAGTAAACGCTATTTACAATTATATATAGATAGCGCGACGCCGTTGGTGCGTGGTCGCGTTTTTGCTCATGTGAGTCTTAGTTGTCGTCGCGATGACAACTGCGAGCGTCCAGGCTCACGCGCGAGTCGCGGGACGCGGTCGGTGTCGTTTTGCGGTCTTCTCTTGCCCGCGTTGTGAGTTTGTATACTCAGCGAGATTTAAACTGTTGTTGATACCGGCTTTTAATCGATCCGGTTTCGGAACGGTTGTTGTCGCGGTGTGTTTCGCGACGTGTATACGCGAGGTGCGTTACGTGATGTTAAAGCGGTTTGTTAGTGCGATGATACGTCTAGCGTTGATTACGCATTTTCGAGAGCGCTCCAACACATAGGAGATCTCGGGCGCGTGGTCGGTGTTTTCACGGTGGAAATAAGCGGTGCTAGATAGCAGATGTCGACGTCGCGTATTCACCTCGGTCGACGGAGTATCTAGAAAGTCCTCCGCCCCTACCGGTCCCCCCTCTCCCCTACGGATCGCTTGGGGGGTGTGCGGGGTCGCACCCACCAATCATAGCGGCCCGGGAGGGAGGCGGCGCGGTGTTGGGTCGCACCGCGCCGCTGGTCAGGAGGAGCGCGACCGGGGGTGATTTATTACCCCCGGTCCGGGAGGGGTCCGCGGAAGTAATACGCAAGTGGTCCCCGCGGGCCCCCTGACGACCGCTGAGGACGGACCCGCCAGGGGTTTTAGTGGGTAGGGCCCCCGTCGATCTTCTCGGCGGGGGAGGAGTCCCACATAACCCGCGGTCTCCCCCACGAGACCGTGAG